GGAGACAAGCCGGACGGAAGGCGGACACGCTGTCCGGCAGCAAGGCAAACACTCTTAGAAAGCATTTAGAACCCCTAACAGTAACCTGTTTGGGGAAGTACAGAAATCACCTGGGAGACAAATGAATAGAAATGCTGGAAAGGGGAAAAGGGCGGATGCCAGCAGTGCAGGCACCCAACCTGGAAGATAAAGGTAAGCAAACCACATGGGAAACAAATGAATAGGAATGCTGCATGGCCAGCGGAAAAGGGCGGACACCAGCAGTGCAGGCACCGAACCTGGGAGACAAAAGTAAAGAAATCACTGTAAAGACAAACGAATTGAAATGCGGCAAACTGTTTGGGGAATAATTAGAAATGTTGCATCACCTGCAGAAAAGGGCGGACACCAGCAGTGACACACCTCGGAGACAAATGAACAGAAATGCTACATGGCCAACGGAAAAGGACATATTGCAAATGAAGAGAAATGCTACATGGCCAGCGGAAAAGGGCGGACACCATCAGCGACAGACCTGGGAGACAAATGAATAGAAGTGCTACATGGCCAGCGGAAAAGGGGGGACCACAGTCACAAACCTGGGAGACAAATGAATAGAAATGCTACATGGCCAGCGGAAAAGGGCGGACACCAGCAGTGACACAAAGGGCGGACACATCTTAAGAAAGAACTAAGAACCCCTAACAGTAAACTGTTTGGGGAAAAATGTCAGTTGTCTATGGGAAATCTCCAAAGGCACACTGGGACTTGTATGTGAACACATCGGCAAGTGTGGCACTTGAAGCACTCGTGCTTGGCTGTCCTGGGTGGGCTTTCTCATTGATGAGGTCCTCGATCAAGTCCAGCACTGAACTGTTGGCATGCTCACCATGTGCAAAGTAGCGGTTGACATCATTGTGCGAATGTCTGATGTACCTCAGGTGTGAATTGAACAGCCTGTCGATCTTCTCATGCACAACACGGGACAAAGGAAAACCAATTGGCAGGCTGAAGCACGCCTCCTTTTAAGCCGAGTCGCTGCACTTCAACAAGCGCCCGCTTTGAGGAGTAGTCCTTCCACGCCTCAGCAGTGCCTTGAGCACCACAAATGCATACATGACAATACAAGTGCGAGCACAACAAGTGGGCTGTGTTCTAAACACTGCTGAGTTGCCTACGCTGGGCGTTTTGCAGGATCAGAATTTGTGGGAAGGGTGGCTTCGCGAGGCTTCTTCGTACAACACAAGAGGCTTCGCGAATGGGCTTCGCAACCTTTCGTACACTCTCTCAGTTAGCCTTCGCAAGTTGGCCTCGTCTGTGTGAAATCCAAGGGCCTACGCCAGAGCCTTCGCGAGCCTTCGCCGCACATAATGTATCACACAAATGCCTTGGCAAACATTTGGTGAGTTACAGCCTAGTCTAATTATATCATTGAATAAGACATGCTACTCAAGTGAAGACACATAAAGAAACCATGGCCACAAATCATCCATTGCCCAGCCTCCCGTGCCCCTTCCCCGATTGCCTCCCTGTTCTCCGGGTCATACAGTCGAGCGCATGCCGCTGGAGGAAAGGACGAAGGGCATCAGGCCACGTCCGGGCAGAACGAATCACCCCATGCTAGAGAACTTGCTAGAGAACTTGCTATCACCTTTGATGCCAGTTCGCCAGGTCGGTCGTCTCAGAGGGTGCCATCTGAGTGTGTCAAGAGTGCATCGCGGTCGGACGGCCAGCAGCTCATCTGCAGTGCAGTTCACGCTGTGGCCCCTCCGCAGGTCGGGCTCCGCTCGGGCGATGACCGCCCAGACCGGTCGAGGTGAGGGTCACGACCCTCCGGCTGGTCGCGTCCTGGGTGTGGGTCCAAACCAATGGACCCCGGGCTGAACCGTGGGAGACATGAACCGGATGCCCCCCCAGAACCGGGAGGTTCCGGAGGTCGGTCTTGGGGGTCATCTGGGTGATGTCTTAGGGTCGAAGTGTTGCTTCAAAGGGGTCGAACTGGGAGGCCTCCCTATGTTAATACACACCCACATACTCCTTGAGATCACTCGTTACATGGCCCAGAAAAATGGATGCAGTGGATGACCAACCATTCCGAAGACCTGTTCCAGGTGGTTTTCACTCCACTTCGATGATTCCAACAGTTTTGGCCATCTCTGAACTTCTCAGCTTCGTGCCCTGCGGCCACGCGACGGGACACCCCGAAACCGACGACAGCCCAAAGCCAGTCAACATCCCCACCCCAAAACCGCCGTTCTCCGTTTTCACAGCGGCCAAACGAAGGAAGCCGTGTGAAGCGTGCAGATGGCCCAGATCCGCCTTCGGCCAGTCCGGTGCAAACTTCCATCCCGAATTGGCTGCCCTGAGCCATCCAAGGACAGCCAAGCGCGCCCTGCATCAGCTGATGGACGGCGTTTTCACGAAGAAAAACCCTGAGGGTTTCCACACATGGACATGGCCCATAACTATCAACATTCAACAACAACCGTTTACGGCATGTGGTGGCTACGTGGAGACCTCTTGGAATCCGAGTGACATACCAAGCAGGACGCAGTTGCTTTGCACCCAAAAGCACTCCTTGGAAGGCACGGTTGTGGATGATTGGTCGTGTGACACAAGACAAGGCCACGTGTGAATACATGACACAGCATGACAAGGATGCATTTAAGCTGAGAAACGCTTGGGGTTGGAATGCCGAAAAGAATACATTCGCCAAACCAAATATACATTCTGTAGTAAAAAATATCCTAACCACACTCTATATAGTAAGCATGAAAAGCATCCGAAAAGTCTGGTCAAACACGAATGATTCGCCAAAAAGGATTGAACAGGACTCAACACCTGGTGAAGAAACGCAAAAACATCTCAACAGCAAAAGAAAAGCAGCAAAGCGAACCAACGACGAATTCGTGATATATCCTTCTGACTGTTCCAGGGAATCACCCCCCCCCCACACCCAGTCACATCCACGAACCGAGGCTCTCCGACTCGTCCAACGCTGCGACTGGCGGCTTTGCACCGCTCCGCCCCAATGCCGCAAAAGGAAGGCGGTCGTCACGGTCTCGACGCGTCGATTGCGACGAAGCATGGGCGAGAAGAACCACCAAATAACGATGGACGAGTGGACGAGACGCCGCCAGGCAGTGCCTGAGTGGAAGAAACCAGTGCCAGCGCTGGCACTGCCACGTGTAGCGATCACTGTGCCGGTGTAGCACCGCGATGATGGTGGTAGGCCTTCGTAGACCCGAAGGACCTGGGACGGCAGCGCTGTTTGAAAGGTTACATGTTACATTTTGACATGCTAACTATATGGCTATATTTTGTTGTTGGTATTCTTATGAAACTCCCCAAGAATCAACGGTAGGGAGACCCAGAAAAATACGAACACAAAATGAGAACAAATATTTGTGTATATAATATATAATAGATCGATATTTAATAAGTTATATATACAGTATATATATGAAAGGGCAAAGGCAACAACACATTCCCTCCTCTTTTCCAAAATTTTCACTCCTTGATCTATTCTACGATCCATGATCCGTAATGATCTATTCAGTCTAGGCTACTGGCTCGTCCAATGGCTTATGAAGTGCAACAAATAAAACTCCTTTTTGGTACCCAAGTATCCCAAAAAAGCCTCCGCACAGATCTCCCAACCTGCCCAAGGCACTGAAGGCCCATCGGCAAACCATGCGAACCTGGAAGCCACCTTCGCTTCGCGTCCACCGAGGTCACACTGACCTGACCGGATCTCCGCGGTGACCGGTGCCACGGACCCCAAGAGTTCGGTCCAAGGCACCACTGCGTAGCACATGACCTGGGTGGCGCGGAACAGGTGGATGGACCGTACATGCGGATGGACACATGCACATCGTAAACAAAACGTTGAACATGTTTCCACCAGAAACATGACATCAACAGTGAAATGACTTGAATATAGAAAGTGTGGTGTTTCTTGTATGTTCTGACGCTGGATTGTTTTACTCCGTTTACCACTACATCCAAAGATTGCTGCAACTGTCATCGGGGATGTCTTCCGGGGCATCGTGAGCAAATAGGGTGGGGCATGAGTGAATTTGCCAATGTTGGCTCAATTACTCGCGACACACACATCATTAAAACCATAGAGTAGAAACTCTTAGATACTTCACAGGATTTCATCAGAATCTCAGCGACATTCAGCGACTCTTTTTGACGAGAGATTCGCAGAGACCATCTGGAAAGACTATCCTAATAATTTGATATGAATTTCTATACTTGCTCGGCAACTCAGGCACAGCTTCTAAACAAAACGCTTCTCACCTGCAGGAGGGTGATGACTGCAGGGGTGTACCAAACATGCACGACGACTGAGCTCCGCCGCCATGTTGATACCGAATTAAGTCCCAAACACTCCATGTATGGAATATATGCCGATCAGTTGGGGTGGTGCCAGGGGAGTCAATGTAGGTAAATATACCAGTCCCATGGAGTGTCTGGGAGTTGCAAAAGCTTGAGCACCCCGTTCTTCTAGCTACAGTCGCCATGAGAATCTTCAGTACCCATGCGTCGTCGGCGCCGGCAACTGTCACACACGCCGTAGTGGTTGCAATTTCCGTCTCGCCGGCGGCGACGACAGATTGGAACCTGGCAAGGGGTGGCGAGGCGTGAGCCATTTCCGCTGCGTGAACGGTTTCTATAGATGTGTGGTTGAGAAGGGGAATTTCGGAGTCGTTCTGAAGGGGATCTGATTCACCCGCTAGCTTCGCAAGAGATCATGAGCTTAGCTCAAGGTGAATATGGAAAACAAGAGACATGTGATATGGAGGTATTCATGGCTATCCCAATCGATTGGGCCTTGTTGCGCATCATTTTTGATGCGCCTTTGATCTACGCGTCGCGTGCTGGTTTTTGGTTCGGCAGGTGGGTTACAAGACATACCACATTGGTCACATGGCCTAAGAAAGTGGGACGAGATAGGGGGGGCTCGACAGAGGCGAACGCAAGTTCGATTGTGTCACTTGTGTTCAGTGCTTTGTTCACAGAGTTCAGCTCGGGCAGCTTCTGGTTTTCACTTGTTTTGAAACACTGGGTTCCTCAAAAAAAAGCAGCCATCACATCACATGTCCAAGTCTGGCAAACAACCCCCCTTTTTCACCCCAACTTCAATGTTGGCTTGCAATAACAAATAATGGTTGCAATCTTTTTTGAAAGCCTCAGCATGGAGAGATGTCACACAAGTTTGAAGTTGGGGGCTTGGGGCGTGGAGAAGGTAAGAACGGTTCAATCAGAGGTGGCAGATTTTTTGAAGAACCCGAGGAACGTTTTGATCCGTCTGAGGGTTTGACCTCTGTCACAAACCTCGGTTTTTGCCTCGTCCTACCCGGCTTTACAAGGGTTGATGCTAAGGCCCACCTATTCGTCTGCAGTTCAAACAATGGCACTATCACCCGCGATTAGATGCCCTAGACTTCCCTGACCATTTAAACAATGGTTGACCTGGTTTTTGAAGTGTAAAATCCTTAGTTGATTCGGTAAAGCCTATTAAATCAATGGAGGGGACATGCTTGTTTCGACCAACTTCCTACGAGGCAGCCTTTCAATCAATCAATCAATCACCGTCGTGATGGCGAGCAACACATCGCCCGCCATGGTCAGTGAATCACCAGTGAATTGAACCCAAAACCTGTGCGTGCGAAGAAAACCACAACCTGTGCTACAGTATTCCCGGATTGCCGCCAGAAAACTCCCAGCACTCTGTGGGAAGGATGCAAAAAACTCTCCACCGACAGTGGTAGCCATTCAAAGAACATGCTCCTACTATCTCCAATAAACCCCAAGCCCTTGAGCTTTTCAGGATCCTCTCAAGAGCCAAGACATGTTTCAATGTTCAAGGAGCCAGCGAAGGGTAACACGTACCTTGCACCCCTTCATCGTGATCCAACTCGTCGTCGATGACATCGACATCGCTGGCTCCATGAACGTGTCCTGGCTTCTGCAGGAGGGCGGTCCGCTCTTCGCTGTCTGTCGCAGAAGTGCAAGCTGATGTGGTGGCCTGAGCGCTGCAACCGCGCCCCAAAACCCTTGAGCCCATCACCCGCAACTGGAAAACGCTGAGTGTGACTGGGTTCGGCACGCCCACTGGCATCGCAAGCAGCAACAGGAGAACCTGCGCATGAAAAATGGTTGCCATAGCTGTGAAATGTGAAGTTTGACTCATCCAAGTGCATGCTTCATGGGTAGCTCAAGACATGGGAGACCTCTCAGACCTGGAAAGACCCCGGTCTCGTTTCGGGTTTCGCATGGCTAAGTCTACCCAGCAAAGATTTCGGTGGTCTGCATGTTTTTCATGCGCCGCGACCAGCGCTCTGATGAGCAGTGCATCGAAGGCACTGAGCAGAGCATGCGAGCACTGAGCGGGTCGGGCAAGTTGAGCGGCTCCGCTGGACCAAAGAGTGCTGCGGGTGGGACCCATCCAAGTGTTTTCTACAGATAGTATCAAATATAGTTATATAATCCCTGGGAGTCAAAGACTATAAAAAGAATGGTCTTTAGGGGAACTGAAAGGGAACTTCCTTTACTTCAGCCGGTCAAAATATAGTCTTTGGACTTCTAGGGTATAATGTTTTTGTTCGGACTGGAAAACAACTCTCCCTACCGCCCATCTGCTTGATACTACAAACAGGGAGAGAGAGAAAGAGATCGCTGAGGGTAGTTTGGGGTTTCATCTGGGTGTTTCAAAGCAACTACTCAGCCTGGCGCCCTTTGAACAAACTTAAGGTATCAGTTTGGGACTCCAGTGGGGCTCCAGGAAGATTCAGGTGTCTACACACAAGCATCCTCAGCTTGGCTTTTGGCAGATCCACTTCAGCGAGGTGGTCAGACATTGCAATTGATTGGTCCCCAAATCACCAACAAAATCAGAAAATGCAATGAATCATGTACCCTGGTCGCCAAATCATTCAGGTCCTTCACCAAATCATTCAGGTCCTTCACCAAATCATTAAGGCTGATCACCAAATCCTGAAGGCATTGTTTTCTATATCCTTTGGTGTTCTTTCCCTGGTGCCAAATGCCGGTGGAGAGATACGGGAGAATCTCCGTGGTGTTCTTCGGTCTATTATTGATGAACCTCGCACTGCTCTGAGAGTTGTCAATCCTAGAGAATGTCAGCTAAATGAACTTTCAACAGCACAAGGCTTGAGGTTGGAAGCCATCGCTGTTAGGTTGGAGTCCATCGCTATTAGGTTGTATCTTTGGAATATTCAGGTGAACAGCTCAAGGTCCTACTCTTGGAACAGTTTGGGAATCTGATGACCGGGTCACGCGGATGGTGTCCTCACCTTCGCCGCCGTCCGACCCGTTCATCCGGGGAGCAAGAGCACAGCAGGCACCTTGGCATCTCGGGGGCCAGGCCCACCCAGCGGAGCGAACCTGACGTCCCAAACGTGTCCAGCGCCGTCGGTGACTATATAGTTAGGTGCCAACAGGCACCGTCAGGTGGGTGTGACGGAAGTCCAGCTCTTCCTTCGAAGTCGCGCCAGGTCACCAAACCGTGGGGTTTTTTTCGTCATAGAAAGCGGCTGGCGGCGAAGGCGGCTGGTCAAGTGTGAAGCTGAGAGCGACATCTCCGGTCACTTGCCAAGGACGCCCAACTTCGAGCTCATTCAATGCCCAGACCGCCCAAGATGTGAGGCCCAAGACCTACCACTCCCCCAATTGAAACAACCAACCCCCACCCCCGCGCCGCGTCGTCTTGCGGCGGGTATGCCAGAGTGCCGCAAGAGTGGCGGTTGCTCCTTGAGCTCGGTTCTGTGTCGCGCGCCAAGATCATCACCCGAAGAGCGCACCGTGCCTGGGATGTGCGAGCCTGCAGGCTCGTGAAGTCTCCGTGTCAGGAACCGAGATCTGACAGGTGCCAGTGCATCAAGTCCACTTCGTACTTCTCGTTGCACAGCGTACGTCCCAGTTCACAAGGGCTCCCTTCACCATGAAGACCCAGGTTGCTCGAGCTGATCCTTCCCCTCCACATCCTCTGGGCCTTGGCACGTCAAGCTGCTCCCGGGCTCCTCTCTGTTCTCTCGACCGAGCATGGACCGAGACGCGTTGGCCCTGAGTAGGCATGGCACAATATTGGCCTGGGGCCCTCCAAATTGTAGCAACAGTTGCACAGTTGATATGCAACACTCTGCATGCTAGCCATCTTACAAAATGTACTCACTACTCCTCTACGCCGGCCACTTGCCTCTTCATCCTCTTCTGCGTCCTCCTTTAGCTGGAGGGAGTTTGGATTTCATCCATCCTCAGCTGCCACAATTCTCATCTCACTCTGATATAAAATAGTAATATAAATACAACTCCTACCGTCGAAGCAAAAGAAAACTCGAGCACCACCTGGAAGGCAAACATGGGACAATCACGGGAGCTTGGGGGTTGTTCGGATAGCATCAAGTGTAAAGCCTTGCCGCATGGGATCACCAACATTTGACACCTGTGGGTTCAGTGCTTCTTGGGTTTGCCTCCCTTGTCCCAGGGTTCTGGATAGAAGTCGAGACTGAAATCCAGAAAAACAAATCCTGCGTGCGTGGGTGACAAATGCCTGACCCATCACATATCATCACATAATCTCATACCATCCAGTTTAGGGGATCGGGATTACATCCATACAGCATGTGGAACACTCACATCAAGCATTTGGCAGAATTCCTCCGCAAGTTCTCTGGAGCGGATGTCCAGAACATCCTCATCTCCTGGGGAACTGTGGATGGATGGACTTATGTAATCTTATGTATGCATATTTACCAGGGCCCCTGGGCCAGGTATTCGAGCTTTGTCTGGGTGTCTATGAGCCACCCCCCCCCTCTCTGCCTGCGGGGGCCCTCTGGTATATGGATGTGCGATGCTTGTTTGAAGGGCTGTCGCTTTCTTCGTCACTCCACGGTGGGTCACGAACAGCCTTTGCGTCCGCCGAGGAACGCCCGGCGTTCCTAATCGGTCAGGACCATGAGCTCCACGGCGTAGGACTGGGACTGCGACTCGACCCATGGCGCGACTCGACCCATGGGACTGCGGACTGCGGAGATGGCCGACCGGGGTGGTGTAGTTGGGGTCGTTTTGGGGCGACGTAGGCAGTCCCATGGAGTGTATGGGACTATCCAAACAAAGTACACGTCGACATCATCAACAGACCAAGTTGGCCTGTCTGACAGCCTTGAGTGCTAAACAGATTATCAGGCAAGAAACAATTGCGACATGCAGTCTTGAAAGCCCTTGGCTCACAACTATAAATTTAGATTCAGTAGATTGGCATCAATCTATCCTTTCTCTGCATCTGAGTCGTATTTCTGTCGTCTGATCTGTTCGTGGGTCTATATCTAACAAGTGACTTGTCTGTACTAAGAGCGCCCTGTCCAATTTGGGTTTTAGTCTTGCTCTTCCCGTCCGACCCACCCGAACACCTACCCACAATGACCCGAACGTGAACCGCACCCAAACCCGACCAAACCCTGCAACATCCGGTGACCGTTCAAGAAGTGCACCCGGTCATCTCTGGTCCGATTTTCCTCACCGAAGTTCCGAGCACCTGGTCACCGCTGGGTCCGTCCTTTTCGGCTGCACGGACGGTGTCACTCTCACAACGCACGTCGATGCGCAAGTGCCGGACCTGGATGGGTATGCGTCGGGGTCAGGATGAACGTTGATGCCGCTGAAGAGCGGTCAACGACAGGACTTCCGGATGAAAACAAATGGAACCATCATCACTAACCATGAACAAACTTATGGTCCTTATGGTTGTTTGATGGTTCATCCGTTATTGTTATATTGTTCATGATAAAAACAAACTTGATCGAACAAACTTTGTGAGACTTTATGCCCCTGTAAGACATTGAGAAACCCGCACTCTAAACGACACAAGTTGGTGGTTTTCGACGGTGGCTGGGAACAGGAGTCAACATGACACGCCAGAAGAATGGTGTTTGGCTGTATGGCCTTGAGCCACACCTTCACCCAGCTGCAAAGGCCTCAAAGTGAGAGAACCGCCTCAATCTAGAACTCTTTGACTGTCGGTTTTGGAATAGAAACATATGAAACTATACCCAAATTCGGCTCTGGCCTATCAACTGTGGCTACTCACAGGACTTGCACTAAACCGCCTCAATACTCCATATAACTACCTAATGGCCCACCAAAACCTTGCAACCATTTTCTGATAGTCCCTTGTAGAACTGGCTTTTGGGGCTTCTAGTTTGAGTGATGCTGCATCAACTCCAGTGTTCTCAGGTTGGTGGGAACTGTTCTCAGTGGTGCATAGCACAACACTTTTCCCGGGTATCGCAGAGTGTCGTCTTGCCCCTTCTTTTTTGTGTGTGTCATTAGTCAGTGTGGATCAAGCGTTTAAAACACATATGAAACTGAGTATAGCCCAGTTGGCAAGCTTTTGGGACACTTCCCCTGGCCTGCGAGATCCAGCTCACTTCAAACCTCACCCCGGTTTGTCCCAAACCGCCCCGCCCCGCGCCCGCGGCGCAAAGTTCTTGACCCGTTGGATGTGGGAGACCTCCGGACGCTCGGTGTTTTGGTGTCACGAGTCGATCAGATCAGTTCGATCGACCCACGAGTCCTCGCTTGAAGCCCCCCTGTTCCTCGGCATCCTCGGATCATGTCGATACTTGGCCTTGTTTCATATCCCAGACACTCCATGTATGCCATATATGCCTACATTGACCCCTCAAACCACCCCAATGTAGGCATATATGGCATACATGGAGTGTTTGGGTATGATCTTCAAGCAAATCCCTAGGGCTCCAGTCGTACCTCCTGTTCGGTACTGGAGCCCAAACGTGAATCACCTGTTGCCGGGTCTCAACGGACACAGCGGGGGGTTTTACGGGTCCGATCATCCCCTCGGTCTGTTTCGGTCAAACACCGTGGGTCAACTCGGATTCTGACACCGGAGGACGTCGCGGGTGGGTCGGGTTCTGAAGAGTGCGCTGAATCCATGCCGCGGTGGGTGGATTTCTCCGGTGGAACAGTGTCCAGATCTTTTTGTTCACCTGATTTGGTGTTGGTCAAGACATGTCAAGACCTTTTTTGAAAGAGCCCCGTGCGATCCTACAAGCTGCATTTGGTATGTGACACAAATACAAATCACAAAAGGCGTCGCTTAAAGGCGTCGCTTTTTTCAAAAGGCAA